TATATGAGAGCTGAAAGTTGCAGCCTGCCTCCTTTTCGATCAGATACTTCCAATACTTCCAATACTTCCAATATACATATAGCCAACATGGCCAGCGATCTGTCTGATGCCGAGAGCGCTCTGCAATAGATAGTCTTCGAGATTAAGGACAATAAACATGAACACACATTACTCTTCTTTATGAACATCATATTACACTGTTTCATGACGTGGACTATGACACTTGCGTGATCGTGTTGCCAGTGAGCTAATGTTAGTAACATCATGCTATTAATTCTCACGCAAAAAATGTATAAATCTCAGATCAAAAATTACGTTCAGAAATCACTCATCAGTATTACTTGAAAGTAGAATACTAAACTAAGCATCACGTACCTGTTGCATAGCATAGCGCATTTGCCCGCGATACCATTGTTTGCTTAGCATTGTATAGATTGCATAGATTTAGTTTTTTTATGATGGATTAGAACATGTTGCATGGAATAGTTATGTTTTGCAGATTATTGTGGCACAGTACGTCTTTGCATCAGCTATATACCGATACTATAACTCTTTCTGCACCACATATATAGTGGTAGTGTTAGCCTCAGTGATTACCTCAATACCCCTTGAGAGGTTCACTCGACGCATATCCTCTACGGTGCATACGAAACTGTGTCGAGACAACTCCTTGCGCTTGCCTCAGGCTCGCCGACATACGTCGGGATCATACTGGACTTTCATGCTCTCTCTTGTGCTAGCTCTACCACTCTTAACCTGAACGGTACTCCCCGGTCCTGGGTACTAGGGAAACAATGATGAATCCCGGGAGGATTAGTGATTCTTTTCTCGTTCGGGAGTTGGGGTTCGGGGAGTTCCCGCCTTGGAAGATCGCCATTCTTCCCTGACTGGACACCTGAAGGTTACGAAATTTGGTAAAAAAAGGTCTAAATTTGGAATAGGTGTGAAATTTACACTTGCATTTGGAATTTAGACAAATTGCACTTATCCTCTGTAATAAGAAGCATCGTGAAGTGGTCTACGGTGCAAACTCTGCGGTGTCGACTATATGTATACAATACACCAAGGGTAACATCATTCTTGTCACAAGATCATCGTAAAGATAATCTATAATACAGCGTTTAGTCACAGGCAGGATGGGTATTATAACTTGGAGTAGTCTTTGAATATAACTAGCTTATTAGGATAAGTTATACGCATTGTTGGAAGATAGTTCTCTCTCCTCAGCTGAGCTCAGGAGTGTCATCGCTTATTGTGGGAGTTTATATATGAATTCGGATAGAAATGTTCAGAAACCAACAACAATTCTCCCTCACCAGATGCAAGTTGTGTTTGTGTTACCCTGTAACACTTATGGTTGGATAACACTGTTACACAACAACATGAGGTTCTTGAGTTACAAGCCCTCAGACTGTTTTGTGAAAAGTTGTAAGTAAAAGTGGAGGTTCGCAAATAACGGATGAGTGAAAGAAGAATACCTCTTCGAGGAGTGGTTCTCGCATAATAAGTGTGAGCCGCTTGTATACGAATGCCCGTGAAACTTTTAATGAATCGCGATCGTATCAAAATCACTGATCTCTGAATCTCATGGCTGGTTAGTGAGACTTGAGCGTCGCAACACACATATACTCGAGTATGTTGCATTCACCTGAAAAAGAAGATTTCACGGATGTCATGAAGAGTGTTGAAGCTCACCGTAACCAGAAACTCCTCGCTTCAAATAGAAGTATCCATCTTGGCCCCAAGAGGATCCCCAAGAATTTCTGATAACAAAGTAACTGACAACAAGACAAAAAATGCAGTAAACATTCACATTGTGTCACCTTACTCTTCTCCATTCTCGGTGCCATAACCAACCGCCACAACACCGTGATCAATACGTCCATGACAGGTTTCTAAATCCGTAATATTCTGTACACATCAGCATCGGACGCAAATCTTACTAGACGAATACACTCCGGATTGGTAGAAGCGGAAATCGGGATCCGAGGCATACATGGCGATGGAGACCGGAGCATCCGCCAGCGCTTTCATCAAGCCCTGCTCGGTCTGATCTAGCATGTGAAAGCCGGTAACCTCCCCAGCCTGTGAAAAGGATGATAGTATTGTTTAATGCAGATCTTACCGGGATGCCGTCAGACCGTTTCTCAAGAGGGACTTGACAGGCGTTGTTTTTAGCAATATAAGGATAGGTTGACTCTTGATCGAGGCCAGCTGACTTTATGTATGTATAAGCATTCTCCATGAGTCCTCCGCTACAACCCCTGAGAGAAAAATAGTGTGAAAGTTTCCTACTGGAAGTATACACAAGAGAATGCAATGAGAAAATGCAAGAGAATATGGCATCAATTTGCAATGAGGAACACATGCATGTGGTGCCACTTACTCATTCCCATAGCTGGAACTACAATCGATAAGCTGCTGCTCGGAGAGTGACAAGAGCTTACCCGTAGCGATGGCATACTGCGCCTCAAGAGCACCTGAAAATGGCACACACGAAAATCAAAGGCACACACATGCATGTCCGAGGGAGTTACCAGTCGCGGAGAAAGCCCAGCAGCT